AATAATATTCTTATATATAATTTGCTGCATTTTATAATGGGCCCTTTATAATGGCCTTTTATAAAATTGGTTCGGCCCTTGAACGCAGATCTGATTTTCCATGTGGCCCCCGACAGAAATTAATTGCCCACTCCTGAGATAGTCGATTGTTCTCTATTTTTAGGCTTATCATTTCTCAGGCAACCTTCATTTTACTATATCCATACTAGTGGGGAAAAGGAAAGCCTGGGTGCTACATTTAAAAGCAACCAAAATAAATATCAGAGTACTATTATAAAGTGATGAGAACTATTAATCTGGTAAATGTGATCCCATGAAGAATGATGCCCACTGCAAAAAAATGGGGAATTATCCCCCCCTCCCCCAGAGAATACAGTATTCCCTGCTGTTGTTTACAATGCCCATTTATTGGCAAATGAACAGTGAACCAAATAAAGGCACTTTGGGTTTGCTCTCCATGCTGTGAAGCTTCAAAATGTATCCCACACTGTAGGAAAATCTGGAGGCTAAAAGGAGCTATTACCTCTGATAAGATTTTGCACAAGGGTAAAATTAATCTTTCTGATTGCAAGTTCTCTGTCGTACCTACCAACAAAATAGCTCTCCACATAGCAGTGTAAAATCTTTGGGCTAATGTTAATGACTTGACTAAATGAGAGTTATATGATTGCCTGAAAGTATTGGATGATTATTGGTTCAAGCGCCTGGGGCATCCTGGGTTCTTTCTTCAGTGCCAATTTTTAATTTTTCTCCCTATTATTTTCTTCCAACAGAAGAGCTGAATCTGAAGAGCAGATAACTAAATTCTGGCTAATGGCCACATATTTTATTCTTTCTCTTCAGCACTGATACGTACTATAGGGAGCCAATATCACACATGCATGTATAGAAGCAGGCATTTAAAAAAATGATAAAATGAGTGCACCACAACAGACTCATTTACTTCTGAATGCTATTCCAGTAGACACAGAATCATACCCTGATATGGGGTCCTTTTTTTGTTAGAAAACTTTGAAGAGCTGTAGGCTTAGGAAGAGTAAGGAAGTAGTACATGACTAGAAGGGATACAAGAAGAATTGGAATGATGAATAAACACTAGATCAGAACTTGTTAAAACAGCCGTTCAAAATCAATGGAGATTCTCAATCATCCAGGTCATGGTTGTGCTTTTTCGAAAATGCATCTGAACTCTCTTAGTTTAGTTTTTTTTTAATTTGAAAACTTTTCTCTTCATATTCAAGAAGCTTCTTCAATTCTGAAGACACAGTTCTGAAATGAAGAAGCATCTTGGATGAGAAGTGAAACGTTCTCAAAGGGAAAAATAAACAAGAACGTCCGGTTGCTTTTTGGAAAAAGCAACTTTGGAACAGCCATTTGGAATGGAATGGAATAGAATAGTTGGAAAGGACCTTGAAGGTCTTCTAGTCCAACCCCCTGCCTAGGCAGGAAACCCTACACCACTTCAAGCAAATGGTTATCCAATCTCTTCTTAAAAACTTCCAGTGTTGGAGCACTCACAACTCCTGGAGGCAAGTTGTTCCACTGATTAATTGTTCTAACTATCAGGAAATTTCTTCTTAGTTCTAAGTTGTTTCTCTCCTGGATTTGTTTCCACCCATTGCTTCTTGCTGCTGGGGAATTCTGGGAGTTGAAGTCTGCCAAGGCTTAAAATTGCCAAAGTTGGAGACCCCTGATTTAAAGCACTTTGGCCACAGCTCCCCATAGTCCCTTCATTTGCATCTCATGTGGTTTTAACTGAAGTAAAGGTAGTCCTCAACTAAGACTACAATTGAGCCCAAATTTTCTGTTGTTAAGCAACATTTGTTAACTGAGTTTGACCCCATTTTACAACCTTTCTTGACACAGTTCTTAAGTGAATCACTGCACCATCACAGTAACAAGATTGTTCAGTAAACCTGGCTTCCCTAATGACTTTGTTTGTCCGAAGGTCATAAAAGGTAATCACATCCAGGGATGCTGTATCCCTCATAAATTAGTTGCTGAGCATCTGAATTTGGATCAACATTCTCAACTATGAGAATGCCGCTAAGGCCCAGAAGTATGAAAAATGGTCATAAATCACTTTTACTCAATGCTGTTGTAACTTTGAACGGCCACCAAAAGAACTATCGTAAGACGAGGGCTACCCGTACTTTTCTTGCGCCTTTCGAATGGACTGGATTACAAACCCCACAACTCCCTGTCAAAACATTTAAATTATGGGACTTGTAAACCGAGCCATCTGAAGGGCGCCAAACCGGAGGAGCTGACCGAAAAGTTGCCTGTTTAACTCTAGCAAACGACTGACTGCACCCCACTATAACAACTTCTAGCACCCTACTCACTGTTTAAGTGGATCGTGGAAGGGCAAGGCCAGCCAGCCCGGGTGCATCTTGTACATAAAGCTCGTCATTTCTTCCCGGCTGCGGTCGGACGAGATGAAGACGATCTGGAAAGGGGCCGGATGAGTGACGACATCCACCAATTCGCTGTAGAAATCGCATAGCGTGGGTGTGAAGTCTCTGCAGAGGGAGCACCAGGAGGCCGAAAAGTACAAGCCAACGATTTTGTTCTCCAAAGCTTGCTCGGGGTCCACGAAGCCGCCCTCCAGGTTCACGAGGATCCGCCCGCTGAACAAATCCACCATGCTGAAAGCGGGCGGGCGGGCGGGCGGGCGAGCGAACGGCCCCCCGGAGGATACGGGCTACAGGTGCTTTGAGTAGCTACGTAGGAAGGGAAGGAGTCAACTGCAGGACGGGCGGCCCTTGAACTGCTTGCGCCGACCCTCGCAGAACATCTACCGGACAACTTTTCCCCGACGGCGGGAAAAATGGGCGCCGTCCTCTTTTCCGATGCTCTTCCCCTCGCAAAAGCGCCCTTGGGAGGCGACTCGAGGCGCGGGCTGAAGTCAGCGAGACGGCTCCTCGCATCCGATCTCTGCCCAGAACCGCCCTGAGAAAATAAAAGCCCTGACGCCTGGAGGGCAGACAACGTAGGCGGGAGAAAGAAAATGGACGTCGGGCTCACGGAATCCGATGAGCGGGATTAAAGGCTTGCGAATTTGTTTGCCTGAGCTATAAATGGATGTAACGTTTTTAAAAATAGACCCCGAAAGCCAGACTCAGAGGAGCGTCGGGAAAGCTCGCACCTTCCCAGTTATATTCCCCCAGTCTCGATTGCACCCACGACGGGGCGACTCTATTGAGAAGATGGAGCGACAGGTGTGGCCAACTTAATGGTCTTCCTTTCAAATCCAAGACCACAACGGTAGGCCAGCACAAGACCGACTCAGGCGTTTAGTCCTGCAAAATGTGGGAAGAAGGGAAGAAGGAAGTTTGTTAGGAAGGGGGCTAAAGTGCACCCTGCTAGAGAACAGGATGCCTTTCTCTTTTCCCCTTATACTTCGCCAGCGTCTCCAAGACTCAAGTACAAATACCCCTGCAACTTTCGTAGGAGCCTTCTTCAGTCAGGTACTCGAGTGCAGGGGTCTCCAACCTTAGCAACTCTAAGACTTGTGGACTTCAACTCCCAGAATTCCTCAGCCAGCAAAGCTGGCTGAGGAATTCTGGGAGTTGAAGTCCAC